TGATTAATTCAATTTTTTTTACCACAACAGAACAATATGAAATGCACTACATAACTGTGTGGTCCTATGTCGAGCTTTTAAATGCTTTTAGTGCTCTCTATAGTGCAAGGTTTTCATGGCTTGACGGACAAAATTATTATTTTATTAATTACTGGATGGCTTCTGGGCCTCTGTGCAAAACATGATAAAGCTATACAATTTATAGTGTCCTCTGTACTTGATGGGAACTTGCAGGAAAACAGGGGCTTAGCAAATATTTGACGTTGGGCCCCGAAAACAGGATTAATCAAATGCCTTTCAGAAATACCAATCAGAAAAATGCTTGATTACCAGGCAAGTTGTTCGCTTGGTATAATTAAAGCTCCTATTTTAGCTCTCAGATCAACCTTGGTCCCTTTTGTAGTTGTGTGTGATTCAGTGTTCTCTTTTTCTCAAGCAAAAAAAATAAAAAATGCATGTGTGTGCCACATCAACAACTGTCTTCCTATCCTATAGAGAACATTATAAATAAGGTCTCAATTTACCTTTACGCTTTTGTCATGCAGATGCTGATTCTATAAACACCAAAATCCTAACTTTAGCAGAAGACCTCAAATCCCTTTTATTTTAAGTTATTACAACTAAGCAAAGATTGGAGCAGTGGTTTTCAACCTGAGGGTCAGGACCCCCAACAAAGTCCCAAAATACATCTGTGGGGTCATGAGTTGATTAAAATAACATTAAAGCACAAGGTAATTTATTTCTACATAATTATGTTGATGTTTTTTAAACCTTGATTTTTGCATTTGAATTCGAAGATGTACAATTGTAAATAAGTATATGTATAATTATACATCGTCTAGTCCCTGAAAAAGTATTCAGGTAAAACATTCTGGGAGGGAAAACCGTGTCTTTGACCTGGCCGTCACCTGTATGCAACCTGTGACGAGAGGTAAAAAGTAATGTAGTTTTGCCCAGAAGGTTGGTCAACACTCCAACGGATTAGAGTATCATGTGACAGCAATATGCAAAATGTATTGAGTTTACTAAGAAAAAGGTGAGAGCTGATTACTCAACAACCTTTACAGAGCTGTGTCCCCCCCCCCCCCTCCCACACACACACTTGTGTAATAAGTATTTGGCAAGCTATGTACTCTATGTATATATGTTTGTGTAATTTTATGTTTAAAACCCAAGTTTCTATCTGAGAGGTATGTTTTTATGACTCAGTGCTTTTTAGAATTTTTTTATTTTAGGACACGGGTGCAGCACCTGTGACAAAATGGACTGGTTTATATTACTGCTCTCTTCGGATAATTCAATCAATTTGTTTATCCGTTTCAATTTATTCACATTATACAACAGAACAATTATTAAAATCAGTCTCATCGTACATTATATGTAACTAAATTCCAGCCAGTAATGACTTTTAAGGACAAACTAGGAGGTGCATTCATCGCCTTATCAAATAATTGATACAGTCGTTGAACTGACACTTTACAGTTGGATTGTCTTT